CAGGATCAGACCAGGACCAGTCAAAGGCCAGAGTACAACCATAAGAAGACCAGAGCAAGACCAGAGCAAGACCAGAGCAAGACCAGACCAGGACCGGACCGCGACCAGGCTACGACTAGACCAGACCAGGACCAGACCGCGACTAGACTATGACTAGACCAGACCAGACCAGGACCAGGATCAGAACAGGATAAGACCAGGAAAAGACAAAGAAAAGACCACGACTAGAGCACTACCAAACCCAGACCAGGACTAGACCATAACCAGAGCAAGACCAGAGCACAACCAGACCAGAATCAGAGCAGGACCAGACCAGAATCAGACCAGAATCAGACCAGACCAGACCAGGGGACCAGACCAGGACCAGGACCAGGACCAGACCAGGACCAGACCAGGACCAGACCAGGACCCAGACCCGCCCTCCTGTCCTGACCGTGTGTTCTTGTGGTGTAGAGAGGATTTGGAGACGCAGCGAAGAAAGCGATCAGAAAACTGACCACACGAACCGTCCGGAGAGGAGACAAGGTAACACACACACACACACACAACACAACAACACACAACACACACACACAACACACAACAACACACACAACACAACAACAACACAACACACAACACTGACACAACACACAAACACACAACACACAACACACAAACAGACAACAACACACAACACACACAACACACAAACACAACACACACACAACAACACAACAACACACACACACTGACAACAATAACACAACACAACACACACAACAACACACACAAACAACACAACACACAACACACAACACTGACACAATACACACAAACACAACACAACAACACACAACACACACACAACACACAACACACAACAACACAACACACACAACACAACAACACACAACACACACACACAACACACACAACACTGACACAATACACACACACAACAAACACACAACACAACACACAATACACACAACACAACACACAACACACAACAACACAACAACAACACACAACAACTGACACAATACAACACAACACACACACAAACACACAACAACACACACACAACACACAACAACACACACACAACACACACACACACACACAACATACAACACAACACACAACACTGACACACAATAACACAAACACAACACACACACACAACACACACAACACAATACAACACAAACAACACACATACAACACACAAATAACACACACAACAACACTGACACACACACACACACACACACAACACACAATACACACACAAACACAACACAACACACACACACACAACACAACAACACACAACACACAACACAACACACAACACAACACACAACAACACACAACACAACACACAACACACAACACACAACACACACACAACAACACACAACACAACACAACACTTTTTCATCATGGTGCATGTATAAACACAGTATCCTGAATACGTCGACATCAAGTTGATTTGACCTGGATTATTTTCACTTTTGTCGTTTGTTTTTCCAGGAGACAGACCCAGACTTTAATCACTGTGCCGTGTGCATCGAGTCCTACCAGCTCAACGACGTGGTCCGAATCCTGCCCTGCAAGTACGACCCCTGACCCCTGACCCCTGACCCCGAGTGTCTGTGACGGAGTGAAGCCTGCACATTTACACTGTGCTCTTCACTTAAACTGAACACACTCTCTCCAAGTGTTTCCTCTGGACGGTCGTCTGCCACATTTGCCCTCACATGTGGTGGAAAAAGCCTGTAGCGTCTCAAATGTCCACAGCTCCTGATCCAGCCTCTTGCTCGGTTTCCATGGATACGGGAAAAACAAACCGCTCATTTCACAAAATCCAACCGTCCCTAACTCGTGTCCTTTGAGCTGCTCCTGTTGCACTTCTGAGTTGGTTAAAAATCCCCTGATATGATGTTTAAAAACTGAGCTCAAAAAACAAAAAAAGGTAACACTTTATAATAACTACACCTTATTTAGCCTTAATAAAGCATGAACAAAGGCTTAATTAATAATGAACAAAGACTTAATTAATAATGATTCACGCTTCGTAACTACTTAATTACTACCTTAATTATCACTTGCACTTAATGTGCCTGTGCTGTAAATAGTTACTCATAATTATTTCATACTTAATTACTCATGAACTAACCATTTGAGCATATTAATGATCACTGTTGGGCAAGTTACTTTAAAACTGTAATGCGTTATTTATTACTTATTACTGTCATTTCAAAGTAATTCATTACATTACAATATTTACTGCATTTAAAATGTAAAGCATTACATTACTATTGCATTACTTTAAGTTACTCTCACCAAAAATAACTGCAAAAAAGCTGAACTTTTGAGCCGTATATGGACTGAACCAGGACTAAACAAGGTCTAAACCAGGACTAAAACCAGAGCTGAACCAGGACTAAACCAGGACTATAACAGGACTAACCTCAGACTGATTCCAGGATTGAAGAGGAGGACTAAACCAGAACTGAACTGAACTAGGACTAAAACAGGACTCACTGTCAGGACGGGCTCGAAGGTGACCGCAGGAGAAAGGAGCGGCTTTGCTCTGCACCTCATGGAGGTAAGAGCGGCTGTTGCTCGATTGTTCTTTATGGACCCTGCTGCTCAGGCTCACGGTCCTGATTTCAGCAACTATTTGCGGGTACAAGACCCGGTGCAAAACTCTGCTACAGCGCGTAACAACTACCTTCCTTCAACGTGTCCAAGTCCAACTTTTTTTGTGCGATGGTTTGCATCGTCCTCTGTCTTTTGGGTGTGAGCGCAGGAGACTTTGTCGGTGCAGAACATTTCGTCGACGTTGTGGATTTTGTCGGCGAGAAAACTTGCAGACATACAGCACTTCAGAATCACACTGCTAGAGATTGAACATTTATTTAAATTTGGCAGCTGAACACATTCTGTACTGTACAGGAGACAGGAGTCCCTTAACCGATCAGGACACAGCGGGAGGAACGCAATACGTGTTCATACACTAAAAAAAAAGGCATGCAAAATTGCACAAAAAAAAAAAATTTCTAAAAAATCTGCGAAACAGCGAGACCGCGAAAAGTGAATCGCGTTAGAGCGAGAGACGACTGTAAGCCAGGTCTAAACCAGAAGTGACCCAGGTCTAAACCAGGTCTAAACAGCGTAGAGTTCTGGGTTGGTCCTTTCGCCGTGGTTAACTGAAGGTTTATCCGGCCGCGTCTCCGGCGTTTCACCGCTGCTGATTTCACGGTGATTTTAGCAAATTTCTATGAAGAAAAACCCACCACTTCAATCCAGGTTAAAAAAGCATTGTAACGCGCGTTACTCACATTTGTACCGAGTAAAATATTAACATTTTTCCCCCTGTAATGCCGAACATTACTGCGTTACAGCAAAAATCAACGCATTACAGTAATACATTACTTTTTATAATACATTACTCCCAACACTGTTAATGATTTGTAAACTATGAGAGAATGATTTACTAATAATGCAATACAATGATAATTCAGGCAGCTGTTATCTGTTAGTTAAGTCTTTTTGAGAGCTTTTCTAAAGTGAAGACTAATTATCCTTTATTAAACATTTACTAAGCGTGAATCATTATTAATTAAGTCTTTGTTCATTATTAATTAAGTCTTTGTTCATGCTTTATTAAGGCTAAATAATGTGTAGTTATTATAAAGTGTTACCCAAAAAAAGTTTCCAAAGATGCTCAGTGTGTGAGCCAGGCAGCCACAAGAGCAGCCAACCACTCTGCTGCCAAGAGAAGAAGTCTTGAATTGAAAGTCTCTCTCTTTCTCGTCTAACCCTGGTCTCTCTCTGGTCTCACACAAACTTACACTGTTCTTCTTTTGAACCGAAAACACGTGATTCCACCTTGTGACGTCATTACGTGCCAATACAGGAAGTGCTCCGTTGGGCTTTTAAACTCCACACACCTTCGTTAGAATCTTTTGGATAATTTGAGTCCTGTATCTGACAAACTTTAAAGTCACAGCTGTTGTTTTATTTTGCTATTTTACCCATAAATAATTTCCTATTCCTCATGTGGAACTCTGCCCCAAACTCCCTCCTATAACCGCAGGCCTCAGTGAGCTTCATTTGACTGGAGCTGAACGCTGTGGTGACGTCACACTCCCTCAGAACACGTCTTTATTCAGTCGGTGGTTTGGATTCATTCGTGAACGTTTGAATCTTGCTTCGTGGGCCACCCTGTTTAAAGCTGCACTGTGTAGCTTTTCCGGTTCAGGGTCCGTCACCTGCCGGTTTCTATGGAGATGTCACTGCTCTGCTTGGAATGTTCCGCAGTGTGACATTAAACGGCTCTACTTTACGTTTATTCAATTACAGGTGGTTTTATGGCACAAAAATACCCAGAAAAGCAGGCGTTCTGACTGTGAGCGGGGTCGCCTCTCCACAGATCTTACCTGTAACTTGATCTGGTTTGGTCTCCATGGAGATAGAAAGGTTTAATGCCATACTGTGAAACATCTCCATGGACCCTCCACTAGAGAAGTTACACAGTGCACCTTTTCACTTTGCCTCTCTCTTGCTGTAATATCGTGTTGTGTTGTTGTTTTGTTGAGTTGTGTTGTTGTTTTGTTGAGTTGTTGTTGTGTTGTTGTTGTGTTGTTGTACTGAGTTGTGTTGTTGTGTTGTTGTGTTGCAGACACGTGTTCCACAAAGGCTGTGTGGACCCGTGGCTGAACGAGCACTGCACCTGCCCCATGTGCAAACTGAACATCCTGAAGGCGCTCGGCATCGTGGTGAGCAACGACGACGCGCACAGAAATCACCGTGACAACAACAAAACACCATGACAACAAAACTCTGACAACCAAACACCATGACAACAAAACACCACGACGACAACCAAACACCATGACAACAAAACACCACGACGACAACCAAACACCATGACAACAAAACACCACGACAACAAAAACACCAAACACCATGACAACAACCAAAACACCATGACAAACAAAACACCA